ACAGAGAGACTTATGAGAAGAGCAGACCTCAGTTTGACAGATCTGGAGATCACACAGAAAGGATGCCGCGGTCTCTTAACAACTGAAGTGTGCTGCTGTAATGTATAATGTGTTCCAGCTGCCTCACATACCTTGTACCACCGGATTTCTGCGTTTATGTGTGCATATGCCATTTTTTTTTTTTTTTACCCAGAGAGTGTCAGTTTGCTTAACGTTGTGGCTTATGAAACAGCCCTGCCATCTGAAAAGGCTACACACCTACAGAGGTTTAAAGGAAATGGGCTCCTGAGGGGTGCTGGGGGTGCTCTATGCATGTTGGAGAGATGAAGTCCTGTAAATCGTTGCCAGTAATCATCCATATAAAAGAACAGCTGCGTCTGGGACCAGTTTTAAGTATGGCTGCCATGCCTCCCTCCGCTGTTTAATATTCAGTTGAACAAGCAGCAAGCGTACATGTGTGCGTGCACGCTCTGTGCCACTGCTTGCTTATGTACGCAGAGGTTGCCCTGGATATGCACTCTGCTCTGGATAATTTCCAAGCCCAATCTATATTGCTACCAGGCTCTGGAATGCACCTTTGCTCCTGGGAAATTTCACCTGAATTGCTTGGCCCGTGTGAACGTACGTCTACATGAGTAACCTAACCATAAATGTTACTGCTTCTTCTAATAGGTGTATTACAAGAGTGTGTGTCAAATAACACACAGCTCCGCACTAAAAACATCAAGACTCAACCCGCTAATGGCATCAACTTTGTCATCATGGACTCTGATGAGCTGGTTTGGGCTTTAGTTTGCAGAGCCTAATTTTACCCTGTGGAAGAGGGAGGAGATCTGTCTGTAGTTTGCAAAGGGCCTGCTCCTTGTGTCCGTGACTCATGCGTGCTCATGATATGGCTGGGCGGTGCTGGGGTGGGGGTGGGGGGAGACATTGGGATCTATGTTTGTTTCTCTGTTGCAAGGCAATCCACTTTGGTCTTTGACATTATGAGGTGTTATAGAACGGGGATGCCGGTGGACTGTCACGAATGTGCCGCTATCAGTGTGCAAAGTTTCTATTGTCTTGCTCTCTCTTTTTATGGTTCTGCACCAAAGTGTGAGATTCTTTGTTTTGTTGATAATGAGCATGCAACACTTTTGCTGCTGTAACACGTGACACTTGTACTTTGAGCAAATCTGATTTATACCATTCTAATGAAAGGATATTATTATAAAGACCTGCAGTTCTGACCTCATGGGGTCTCCTGTATTATCCTGAATTATAACCATCTGTCTAAGTGTTAGTGGAGTGTGAAAGATGGAAATGTGACAGTGATTGAAATGCATCTAGACTCCAGTGCAGTATTTTTGTTAAGAAAACCAAATCAAATAGGAACGCTCTATATTAAAATTAGAAAACAGCCGTTTTCTCAAGGGGCTTTATATTGAAAGGTAGAAACCCTGCAACATACACAGAAATCCCCAACAACCAGGAGATCCCACTTTGAGCAAGCACTTGACAGTGGAAAGGAAGAACACTTTTTTAACAGGAAGAAAACTCTGTTGGAACCAGGCTCAGGGAGGGGCAGACATCTGCCACAATCGGTTGGGGGCTGGATTCAGGAGACAGGATAAAAGACGCTAGAGAAACGAGCCAGAGGTTAATAATGATGCATAGTGGTGAATAAAGACAGTGAGTGAAAAAGGTGAGTGAAGAAGAAACACTCCATGTGAAGCCCCCAGCAGCCTTTACCTAATTCAGCATAACTAAGGGAGGATTCAGGGTCACCTGATCCAGCCCCAACTATAAGCTTTGTCAAAAAGGAACATTTTAAGCCTAATCTTAAAAGCAGTCTGTCTCCAAAATCCAATCTGGGAGCTGGTTCCACAGAAGAGAGGCCTAAAAGCTGAAGATCGGCGTCCCATCCTATTTTTAAATATCCCAGGAACCACAATTAAACCAGCAGTCTGAGAGCAAAGAGCCCTGTTGAGGTGATATGGTACTATGAAGATTTTAAGATAACATGGGGGCTGATTATTCAAGACCACCTGCCTAATATTTTGCATGTGGGCCTGTGTTGCTAAAATAGCTGACTCAGGTGTCTGTTGAAAGGAAAGATCCCACCGTTTCTCAGTGTTGGGGGCCATCTGAAGAGTTTGGAAGCCTGCTCTATGCCTGGATGACTTTTTTGTGTTCCTTGAGCTGTTCGTAATTTTTAAGATATGATGGTGTGCATAATGTTGCTGGGGGGGTTTTGTGCCATTGGCAATGTCTAGACCCACATCCACACGAATGTCCAGCACAATGAGCAGTAATATTGTTTTTTATAATACGGTTAAAATGCTAAATTTAAATAAATATCATACAGGATTTGCAGATTTTTGACTTTTTTAAGTGATTTTAATAGATTTTTTTTTTAATTACACTCAGCTCATGTTTAGAAAAATCCTGTCACAGCTTGAAAGATAATGATAAAATAATAAGCTCAGGCATTCACAAATGATCACCTCTAGCCTTTACGTAAATGAGTTAAACAGACAGTTCATCCAGACGGAGCCACACTTCAATTCCCCAAAGGCCTCACAGCTCATATCTACCGCATTCCCAGTAAAAGTCTCTCCTTTTTCCTATGTGTCTCTCACTTGGAACTATGTGTGGCCCAGAGGCAAAACGGGAGTCATCACCTCACTCAGAGAATCCTCTCCACAGAGTCTTTATGGCTCAATTTACTGTGCAACAGCATCCATAAAATGATTTAATGGGGTTAATGTTGTTAGGTACACATGCCTCAGTTGCCAGTAAACATGATGTCTAAATAGCTCATGCAGGAGGGGCAGGAATGAGAGAATATTTTCAGATCTTGTTGTTTTGATATTGTTTTTTCCCCTAAAGCATGAAGACTTTGCTCCCTCTGTCTGCTTAGTTCTGCTTGAGTTTTACCCTAATCCATCTTTCACCACTTGTACCATCCTCTCCATCTGCTTCCTACATCTGTGGGACAAAACTCCAGATTTTGGTTCTCCGCATTAATCTTGCTCAACTCACCATAAACCGTTTCCAAAACACAAAATAAACACAGCAGTGCTTCATTCTCACTTTCTACTCACCTGTTCTGATAGACGGACAACTACTCCCTTGTACTTTGTGTCCTGTTATCTCACACCTGACTCTTGCTTTCCCATAAGGAAGCCAAATGTAGACTTAAAAAAACCAAACATGTATGAGTCACATGAGTCATTAAAGTCAAAAATATGAGTGAGAGTATCTATCGGTGCTGGGAGGCTGGCGTGTGATGTAATCATGACCACACAGGAGTCAGGATGAACCCGGCTGTCACCGGCTGGTCTTAGTCACGTTGCCATTGAATCATAAAGTTTAATTCTCTTGTAGCACCACCAGATGAGAAATGAATGATTAATGCAGTTTGAGCGAGATGTCACGTAAACTGCTTTAGCAGAGGGACTTTTCTTTTAAAAATATTTGATTCGTTTAATAGCACCCGTGCCATCTTAACACGAGCTTCATAGGCCTATTAAAATTGTTTCATTAATTACTCCACCATCTGCTGCGGCGCTTTCTCTGTGCAACGTTTCCAGCCAACATGCCCTCTGGCTCGCCTCGCGCTGTATTGATCCAGTTAAATGGACAAGGTGGTCGGCTGACCTATGCCTCCCCGCTGATTGTCACCTCTGGGTGATAATGTGTGTGCAAGCATTCTGTCTGCGTCTCTGCTCCTGCAGGTATGTCTCCTTTATCAGGCCCTTGGGGCTTTTCTCCCAGACCTCCCAGCAAAGCAAAATGAAGCCCAGCACTGGTGCACTGGTTCCAGCTTCTTCTCAACAAGTTAGGACCAGCCTATTGTGAGCCTTTGCTTTAAGTAGAAGCTTTCTGTGTCCTCAAATCTTACACATACAGAAAAAAAAACTACATGGAAATTGGTTGCGCTGGCTCACAGAACAGCGGATGTGGTGTGCACATCTAAACACAAAATCCAGAAGGCTCTTCCAAAAGGTTTATGGTGTCAGCGATGATGTGCTATATTTAGCAGCTGGAGTGGATGGATGATTTTTTTACCCATATATTCAAATACAAACAAATAATTACAATTAAAGTCCAAACCAAAATAAATTAAGTAAGCATCAACTCACATAACTAATGCAACCACCATCTTAGTATTTTGTTTTCTTTAAATTTAACTTTACAGTGATCCAAGTGAGGAAATATCCCTTTATGCTGCACGGTAATCAGTTATAAGGTTAAGCTGTCTTCTTAACTTCTTTGTTACTAGTCTGGAGGTAAGGAGGAAAAGGGCCAACCAGGCCAAAAAGGTGGAGTTATATACGGCAGACTCCTGGGCGTGTCCAACAGATTGACAGGTGAAAGGATATGATGCATGTTGTGTAGTGGAGCTGGAAAGGTTGTGATTTTAACACACACACACGCCCAGCGTTATATAATCAGATTATCATCTGCTATCACCATTAGGAATTTGCTGTCTTTTGATAAAATTGCTGAACTTTGAATATTTGTTTTTCCTGCCTTAAACTCAAATTCAGAGTGAGGCGGGCTGAGTCACCACCATCACTGCCGTAGTGATCATAATCATTTTTGCCCCCCCGCCCCCCAGTTTTGTCTAAATTAAATTACGCCCTGAAAATCACAAACATCCTGAGGGATATATGATAAATTCAATTTATAACTTCCCCTGATCATTTGTTTTCATGCTTATTCCATCAGATGATTTAATGAGAACAGTATCTCCATCCTGCATCCCCCTTTTCTAATCACTGATAATCAATATCGATTACATCCTGAATCTCTGAATGGGCTCTCTGCTGAAGGACACACACACACACACACACACACACACACACACACACACACACACACACACACACACACACACACACGGACTGAGGGGGTGGGGATGTGCTCTTGAGTCTTAAGTCATCTAAGCAGCCAACCAGCTTCCCTTCACTGAATAAATGCACGATCACCAAAGGAAGGGGGGAGGCGCAACGGGCACGGAGCTGCTCTCTATATCCAGAGCCTCAGAGTCGCTCTGACACCATTCACTCCAGAGTCCCACGCAGCCAAGGAACTCCGCAGACTGCTGCAAGACAGGCTCTGGATAGCACAGCACGGACAACGTTCCCCAGTGTGATTTTCTCCTCGTTTGGATTATAAATATTTGATCTAGGACTATTAAATACTAAAAAAAAAAGTCAGCAAATTAGTCGTGCTATTGAATCCTATGTGACATTTTCTTGAAAGTAGCCGGGTTTATTGCATTTTTTCCCAAATATATATATATTAAACTGGGTTCAAGTTTGAAGCCTGTAGTTTCTTTTAAGAAAGTGAAGGGCAATGTGCGTCCTGCTTGTCTCTTGGGATTGTCTCACTTGCGTTTGAGGAGCTATGTCAAGTCGCAGCAGCAGAGTGTGTTCGGGAGGACGCGATCCACTGTGAATAACAAGAATCAACTTCCAGCCTCTCACGGCTTCAAGCAAGTGCAGCGCGGTGTCTTGACTGAGCACGCTGAGCTGCCTGACACTCCGGGTTTCTCTCCCAGAGGGGATGGTTGTGGATCCTCTGGGGCCAGGAGCGACTCTGGGGCTCCTACACGTTCGCACTTTTTCTGAGATTCGAGTAAATTCTAAATTAAAGGGAAATGAGAGCCACACTTTCCTACATCCTGCTGTGGACGACGTACCTGCTGGCCACTGCTGAGGTAAAGTTACTAGTTAACTTGGTGGAGGCACGGTGGGGTCAGATAGACGGTGTCTTTGGCCCCCGTGTCATACTTGGTGGGGTTTTTATTCTTGTGAGGGTGCAAAGTTCCCAAAGAGCCTTTGCACCCTCTCACAAGAGCCACACATTCAGCAGCACAGCTTTAATGTCCAGATAAAGAAAACCACAAAAGTAAGAGCTCTGAGATTTGATTTAAACCATTTGAGGCTCGGATACACACAGATGGGTTTATGTAAGACTGTTTTTATTTTAATTTTTTTTATTTTAACTCACTTTTAACCGATAAACGATGTATTCAAAAAAACATGGTGGTGTAGGCTCTGATTTTAAACATTAGTGTGAATGTGCTTTCATTTTTTTCTCGACAACAGCGTATCAGTGACTGTGCGCTTTTGAACAAACATCACGTCTGCACTTGGATGCATATCTCAGTTATTTTTGGCTTATGTGCCAAATCTGTTCGTAGCTTGAGTCAACTGGGCAAACGTTTTGGTTGGGCTGAGCGCGATCATGGGAACCGCTCCGGCTGATATTTTTAGCCCCTGCTCCTGTGCGGGTCGCACGGTTTGCTCTGCTTGAGGTGCCTGCAGGTCCGCAACAAGTGCAGAGTGCGGAGAGGATATTGTTTATGATAGTACAAGCAACTCTTATCGCAAGACAGCTATTTTTTAAATGCTGATAGGTAAAGTTAATCCTTTTTTTAACGCACATTTTAAAGTTTAATGTGTTTATTCTACGGTTATCTGGGTTCCAAATGAACGAGAACTACCTAAACTGCAGAATTCTTAAGAGACCGCTTTTTTCCTCCGTGGATGAGGTGATGTGTGGCAATGAGACAAATCTGCTTGCTTGTTGGCAACTGTTGTAAAGCTGTCCATCACACATTTCTAACCTTCATTTGTCGTTTGATTTCTTTGCCCCGACCGTTCTCCTCCTCCTCCTCCTCCTCCTCCTCCTCCACCACCCTCGACCCGCGCCCACCCCAAAGGAAGTGGAGTTTCCCCAAGAGCTGATAGACCGACTGTCCCACAGCGAAATCCACAGCATCAGCGACCTCCAGCGGCTACTGGATATCGACTGGAGAGGTAAATTCTGCTTCTTGATGCTTTGAATCACACATATGAATTACGTTAAGAATCCTGACGCACGGAAGGTTATTCAGATGTGATATTACATCATGAATAGCCTTTTATTAGCATCTGATATATATTTTTCTTTGTAAATCAACACATGGATTTATTAAAGATAGTTTTTTTTTTTTTTCGTTTTTTTTTTCTTTTCCTTTTTTCTTATATCAGCGCTTAGTTTCTATGGGCTATTACTGTGGAGCCTGTAGCTGAATGGCTATGGCGATGTTTAAGAAAGAACTTAAGTCCAGAAGCCACTGACAGTATGCTGGTATCAACACTTAATCAATTCCAGATTTAATGAATTACGTAAACAAACAGGTATATGAAATGTGTTGGCACATTTTTGCCAGCTCCATTCAGGCGGGAAACCAGTGCACACCAGAAATGAATCTTCAAAAACATAACCATGTGCAGGAAATTGCTGAGGGATCTGTGCACCAGTGGGGGTCTGCCAAGCACGATAAAACTGCAACAGGTGCATTTACTGTGCACGTGTGACAAAGGTTGAATGTTCACTGGCAGGCATGTCTTTTTTTTTTCTTTTTCTGGTGCTGCCACGTAAGCTGAGACCAGGTCATCTTGGACCCTCTGACATTAACTTACCGGGTGAAACTGTCTCACCCATAGAGATTAGTTGATGGACACAGGCAATTACAAAGTTTGCTTTAACAGTCCCAAATGATGTAAGCTGCCTCACCAGTCATAGCTCATTAGCAACCCTTAACCATATACTCAGCAGAGCAGCGCTGGGACCGGACGTTCGCTCAAGTATTCTTCTGTGTGAGCATGCATTTGCCTTATTGATGAACATGTTAATTAGGACTAATAGCTCCCACATCATTAGTTTGTTATCAGTCCACAATCAAACCAGCCTGTACTGCACAACAGTGATCACTCCTCTTTATGCCTGAGTGCCTCTAGCATGAGGAGAGGTGTTTATAATTGAATTAAAATGTCTTTCTTAAAACGGAGTAATGTTTTTCAGGGTAACAGTAGTAGGCTGATCATTGTTACGAGGACATAAATCTGTCCAAAGGCCCACTTGGCTGCCCTGGTCAGCCCATTAAAAGACTTTTGACGCCAGCCAGAGGGATATTTTCAGAGCTTTTGTTACAATATATAGCAAATGTTGTAGCATATTAAACAGGGAGGGAGAAAGAGAAGCATCTGAAAGGGTATGCAACACATTGCACCTGGAATATTTCAACAAAGAACTGTATTGTAATGATCAAGAGTTAAAATAAATCTGCCTGTCAGGATGAATGTTTCATTTAGTGCTGCTTTGCTCATCTCGGCCTGCATTTGCTTTCGGGAGGATGGTGTCTTTAGCTCTGACTGACAGATGAGATGACCCTGTTGGAGCCTGCAGATGGCCGTCTGGCCCCTGAGGTGCTCCTCTCCTCTCTGCTCCTCTCTTCCCTCCTGAGGTGGCCCCCTGCCTGCCTGCTCTTATCTCTTTCACTGAAGAACTTTGACAGAAAAGGGAACCTGACTCTTAGCATGGGGCAGAGGTGGAGGAGGGAACAGGAATCCGGAGGTTGTATTCCCACTTTCTGTAGAAAGACTGCAGTAGTTGTGCAACCCGCTTTGTTTCTGAAAAGCTGACAGTTTATGCCCTGTACACCAGGACTACCCGCAAATCTCCAAAAACAACGTTTGTGTACTTTCTACCTGCTCTCGCACCCACAGAGGGGACATGCTGCCCTTGTGACCTAAACGAATGTTTTGTCAACTCAACCATGTAGATGCTTTCAAATAACAAATCAAGGAAGAACGGCACAGAGAGAGAATTATGGGGGTCACTTATTGCGACAAGTCAATAGAGTGCTAGCTATTTAAATAAGCAGAGGGACAAAGGAGAGGAGGAGGGGTAAAAGGAGGGAACAATTTGCCTTCAAGGCATGAGATCATCTCCTGCATGGTTTCTTTTCTCTTGTCTCAGTTTGACAACATTCTGGGGGTGCTGTTGCTTCTTAGTCACCTGGAATCAGCAGTGGAGCAAACCCCTCACTCCCCTGGTGCTGACTCCTTTCTTATTCTGCCCGTCCTTGTTTTTCCCTTCTTACCAACATTTTCTGTTTTTTTTTTTCCATTAAGCATAAAGGATTACCCAGTGATGCTGAAAATAAGGAGCGGGGGGACTTAGAGTCTGTCACATCTCCCTTTTCCACATCAGATTTTGAAAATCTGGGTGGGCTACAGTGTCACATTCTTCTTCACTCCTGAAATGAGGACAGGGGTAAACTGAGCACAGCCTGAGTGACCTTGTATAAAGATTATTAGTTAGACGTCCAGTCAGAGGTAGGTAGGTGTTGTGCACTCCACTCACTCCCTGTCTGACTGAGCGCACGACAAGTTCCTTTGACTACTCACTAAAGAGACTACACTGAGACCGAAAGTTGACAAATGTGGAAAAAGACAGCATCAAGAAGCAAATAAACAACCAATCCTGAAGGGGGACTTTGTATAGATAGAGGAAATCCCTTTAGATGACTCTGGTCAGATCACAAAGCGGCTCAGGGGGTGGAATGTGTTTGCCTGTGGGTAAGCTTTGTTGTGCCGGTGTACATTGGGTTTTAGGCTGCCATGCTGAATAATAAGAGTTTGTGTAGCTGTCGCTATGTGTTTCTGTTAAGTGTACATGCATAGGAGTGTGTTAGCCAGGTGAAGCATTTGTGCTGTGCCTCCAGACAGGTAGGACCCACCCACTTAGCAAACACTCTCAGACTCTGCTCTCTTAGAAAGGGCAGTATCCTGCAGGGAAGTGTTATCATTTTATTGCTGCTCTGGTACTTTTCTGCAGTGCACCTTATATCCTGGGTGGGGACCAAAACAAGCAAGCTTTATCAGATGACCATGAATGTGGAAAAAAAAAACTGGCTACATTGACCTGAGGTTAGAGAACTTTGAGGAGCTAGCATAACAAAACATGTACTTTTCCAAGCCACTAAATGATTGAAAAAGCAAACATTTTCAGGCAAATGAGAGACACCAAACCGCTAATTAGGGCAGGAATAATGGTGGCTGAGTACCACCTGTCAAATGACCACTTTAGTCCCCCCCGCGTGTGTCTGTGAAAGCTGGTTGTTTTTGAGGGAGCGTGCTGACTCACCTGCGTCTAGCTACTTCATGCGTGTGTGGAAAGTTCCTGCCAAATGAGTGAGTGAGGCTGACACACAGAGCTTTACAATTATGCAGAGCTGTGTGTAAAAATGGGCCTCCTGCCTGCACCCTGTGTCCTCTGGAATGTTTACCTCAGTTTGTGACCTCACCAGCAGTCACTCTGCCCTCCTGCCCACCGGCATGTTGAAGGGAACTATAGGCCCTGAGAAACCAGTCAGAAGTTACCATCTTATTATGGTTGTGTGACTAACCGACGCACAATTTGTTGTGGATTGGGTATATAAAAACATCAACGGCCGATCGCATGCCGGCTTTTCCTGAGGTCTACCAAGCCACCCATCGCAGCCATTCAGCATTGTTAAAGCTGCAACTCATAGCTGGTTTATTGGCTGAATAAGCTTTGTGTGTATTTGTGTTTTGCTTTTATTCTCTTTGTGACATTATTAACATGGCGGCCTTCTGTTTTGTTGAGGTACGGGAAACAATGTTATTGAGGAGCCCAAGCACCACATGCACCACAAGCAACCAAACCACCACAAGAACTCCTCTCATCATTATGGTTACTACGGTGACCTGAAGAGCTCCCAGCTGCACAGCCGACGCAAGAGGAGCATTGGTAAGGCTGACAGAGTACAACGTGCTCAACTCAGAGGTTGCATCATGATTACTTTTTACACCATATAGCCTGCATCACACTTTGGCACATAAGATTACAGTGTAAAGACGCCCTAAAAATAACCCGCGTCTTAAATATCACCCCCGACACGAGTTCCCAGGAGATGAAACTGATCACTTTACACTAATTTCAAACAAAGCTAATGGTTAGTGGCTTTTATGTTGCCTTTTTGTGGATAAAAGGGAACCCTAATGAAGACGTCTACCCGGTATTTACTGCAATCAAGGAATCATGAGAAACGAGACTGGTGCGCGAGGTTGACGAGGCCGTCTGACACGAAGCCTTGTAATTGGCCGGAGGCTCACAGATCTAAGGCACACGCGTCAGGAGAGAAATATATCCTTGAGCGTGGAAATTCCAGGCATTCAGGGCTCAAGTTGCAGCTCGTCTGGGCTCTCAGTCAGATTTCTTCATAAAACGCCACGCGGTACGATATCTGATAGAGGCGTGTAGAACACCGTGTAATGTGTGATGCGTGTGCATTAAGACTCTATACTCTAAGTTGCACAGCATTTAAAGCCACACAGGATAATGTGGTTGGTTGTATTTCATATATATCATAAGTGTAATATACTGTTTACCATTGTGGCAGCTGTCTCCACATGATGCACATATCATCTTTACGACATAATGGCATCTTACTGTACACACTCTATCAAGTCTTTAGGTTTAAGTGCCTCTCGGAGCATTAAATCTGCTATGAATACTTAAAGTCTTCATTACAGCCAGCGGGGTCAAAGGCCATTATTAGATTTCCCACCGGTGCACGTGAGGTTTCCGGCCTTGTCACGCTGCATTAACTCCACCGGGTTCTCTGAACAAAAGACTACTATTTTAATGTCTCATCGAGTCCTAAGCTTCTTAGCTGATATGAGATCAGCTTTGTTGTTTTTTTTTTTTGGATAGCTTGTCTTCTTAACAGCCTTAAATGGGGTTGGGTGTGATCTTAGCCTAGACAAACAGCTCCCACATCAAATGACTCATCAAATAACGAGCAGCGAAAGAATGCATGAAGCAGCTGTGAGCGAACAGGACAGATTACAACAGTACATCAAGATGGAAAAGATGATAACAAATGCCGGCGCAGACCAAAGTCGTTAACTCGACTTTCCCTCTCTCCTCCCTCTCGCTCGTCTCTGTTACAGTAGAGGAGGCAGTTCCAGCAGTCTGCAAGACACGGACGGTGATCTACGAGATCCCCAGGAGCCAGGTGGATCCCACGTCTGCCAACTTCCTGATATGGCCGCCTTGTGTGGAGGTGAAGCGCTGCACGGGCTGCTGCAACACCAGCAACATGCGCTGTCACCCTTCCCGCAAACACCACCGCACCGTTAAGGTAAGGCGCACGCCTACAGCATAGGTTGTTTGCGTAAATCCATGACTGCATCATATTAAACCCAGTCACCCGCTCAGTGCAAACACACTTGCTTCCACATCCATTCACCACTTTTCCTCTCTGCAGGTAAGTAAAACAGGGAGGCAAAATTGGGCTAATATGTTTTTCTGGATACTTGTTCCACACTTTACTCCCTATTTTCTTTGCAACCCTCCTCCTCACGGTTCCAGAATTGGCCACCTAACCTAACCTGCTGCTTCCATTCCTTCCCTCTATCCTTCATTTTTTTTTTTTAATCGATCACCACCCTCTCTTCTCATGTTTGGTGAGAGGCCCTGGGTTGGCTGTGACAGGATGGTGGGAGGAAGGAAGAGGAGGAGATGGGGCTGTTGGCACTTGGAACCATGACATCTGTTGAAGGAATGACCCAAGAGGGATGCTCCTGGCAGATGTAAGACAGGCTAAGAGACAGAGATGGAGTCTTGTATCTAGAAAGTATCTGTCTCTCACTATTGCACAAGTACACCTTTCTGTCTTCTCTGTTTGGACCTTTCGGGAAGCAGTAAGTCCAGAGAAGACAGGGTGACAAAGAGGATGAGAGAAGGGGTTGCACTGTTCTCAGAGACTCTTTGGCAATGGTTGCTTGAAAACATGTCCTGTTCAGGATCAGAGGAGAGACTCAGCGGCTGGAGCGGGAGATGTATTTTTGACGTATTTACACTTCAGCCTGTTAGCCTGAGCTTAGCTCTGTTTGGAGGTATGGGAGTTATGTGGTCTGTTCTGTAAGTAAGAGACAACCAGGGAATAAACAGGGTAGCCTGGAACAGTCTGACTGCACACTCATCTTCGCGCTCTATTGTTTCTTCTCCGATTCTGATCTTGCCCAGCTGCCCTCGCTGGTACATTGCTTTGTCTCCTGGTCCTTTTGCAGGACTTTAAAGATGCCGCGTTGATAGACCAGCAGAGGAATAGGTAATAAAACAAATATCAATCTTGGGCTTGCCCCCTCTTGCCCCTTTGGCACAGGCCATGCAGATTTCAGTATTAATAGGAGGATCTCCTCGTGTACTTATGGTGCAGGGAGGGTGAGGCAGCTCTGGCAAGACGGTCACTGTAGGACAGAAGCCATTGCACCCAGGGCACAGAGTTTATGGTAAGACCTGCTGACTCATAGCGTGGAAGGAGAGTGGAGCTCTGATGTACAGCACAGCTCTGTCTGTCTGCATGCAAGCTCATCTGTCTCTCCGTCTGCCAGACCTCAATGGGAGCACTGTCTGTGATCACAGCGATGAGGGATGGAGAGAGACTGACAACAGCATGGAGGACACTATAAGGCTTGATTCAGCTATTCCTGGAATGCAGTGATCCATGCAACTTTGTCAACCCCCCCACCCCCACCCCCACTCCGCCCCACCCCATCTTGACACAAAGGGCAAAATGAGCCCACTGACTTGAGGGACCTTCAGGCATGGTGGAACGGGTTTCAAGGGGGTCAGTTTTTCCATGTGGTTCCAGCCTCTGGTGCGGGAGGGCGGCTGAGAAGCGTCGTATCCCTGTAAAGGTCATCCGTCAGGGCTCCGGTCAGGAGACATTCATCGCATTGTGTGTGAGAAACATTGTCTCATGCCAAGTTGTTTTTTTTTTTTTTCTTTTTTTTTTCCCTGTGTGTCCTCGGTCTGAATAGGGGTTCAATTTGTGTGTCTGCCTTCATTTATTAGAAAACTAAAAATGTTGTTCGTCTACCGTTGGCCTGGCTTGTTTTTTTTTTCTTTCTTTTTCCTCCAAAGCAAGGATGGGAAAAGAACACATTTGCGGTGTTTCTTTCCATCTCATGACACTTTGCATTTGTCCAAATGCACCTTTATTTATTTTTTCCCCCCTTCTCTCTTTCTTTCCCTTATTCCTTTTTCATGCTGTGGACCCAAAAGAAGCAAGCGGGTCTGTGCAGGCCCCGTTCTGTAGAAGGCTGCCCTGCCCTGTCCTGTGATGGGGTAATAAAAAAAAAAAAAAGAAGAGCCAACTAACCTGAGGGGGGGGAAACAGGGCCATATCCTAAATTCATCTTTTCTTTTCTTTTCTCTTGGTTTTGCCCCTTCACTCACTCTTTTGCATTTTGCACTTTACTCCTTCATTGAGATAAGTCAGCCTCTGGGACCTTGTACGTGTCAATTTCGTTTACACACTTGTTTTGTGTTGTCTGCATGCCTTGGCATGGAAGAGAACACAGTAAAAGTGAGAGGTGTAAAGATAAGCGACGTGGCAGGCTTTTAGAGATGGTTCAGTGTCCGTAAAAGAGATCAAGTGAGGTAGGTGGAAAGAGAAACAGAAAGAGAAACAAAGAGAGGTAAACAGTTTCTAATGAGCTAATGTTATTATGTTTTCATGTATTTACATCCCAGCATTCCTTCACCTATTCCTGCACCCCGCCTCCTCTTGCACTTTCAGTGACACCATAATCACTCTCTTTATCCCGGCATCTTGGCTCTCGCATTTCTTTTCTAGTCAGAGCTCTCATTTGTCTTTTCTTTGTGGTGTTTTATCAGCAGAAGGCTGCCAAGAAACCTCTTGGCCAGCATGCTGCTGATTTTGTGCCACAGAGTTCTTAAACTTGTTATAATCTTGACATGGCATGGATAGCTCAAAATATAAACATGCCCAAATTTATTTATCGCTGGCACAAAACACTTCCAAGTTTCTATTTTTGTCTTCATCTCCTCTCTCCTGTATTCCCTCAGTTCATCCTCTTTGTGTTTGTCTGTCTCTGCTGGCTGACGGCTGCAGCTGTGTCCGGTATTTCTGATGGTTTTCTCAGCGCTTTTGGCTCCGAGTGTCTGCAGACGCACTCACTCATAAAACAGGTGATTTTGAAGCAGGCGGGATTCGACAGGAAAAGGGATACAAATTGCGTGGACAGACATGCGCTTTTAAATTCTTTTGCGCGTCTGTGTTTGTGTGTACATACATGCAGAAATACGACTGCAAACAGGCTGTGGCGGAGGCAAAGAACAGAGCTGTCATTCAACCTGTCACTCATCAGCTCTTAAGGCTTTTGCAGTATACTGCATTCCCCATAAACATGGACAACTATGCCTTTTTGAAAAAACAAAGGAAAACCTTTTCTTAAAGCAAGCAAATCAGAAGTTGTAGATTTTTTTTAATGCATGCACAGGAGGAAATTGTGAGTTGTGAAACTGAAAAATTGGGGCTGTATATACATGTCCTAGCACATTTTTAAATCCCACTATAGAAAATAGGGCCTTAGTCTAATAAACTGTTCATTCAGTTCAGTTCATCTCAGTCTTGGTTTGGTTCAGTAGCTCGAGGCTTTCAGTCACCTTTGATGTACAGGTATTTTGCAGAGGTTGTCGAGGGTCATCAGCACATCTGTGTAAACCCAAGGTGGGTGTGTGTGAATAGCGTGAGCACTCCATGCTAAGCGATGTAAACTCACCAACTGCAGAGTAGGGACAAGACCGTTTGTGCAAAGAGGAAGACGGGCTGCAGAGTAATGAAGTGTTGATGGCTACTGGATCAAAGTGGAGGCTGACAGAGGCCAGGCGGATAAAGCCACAGTGCTGAGTGTGGGGGTCCACACATCTCGCTGCGCCGGCCCCGACCCCGACCTTTACGCACAAACACACAACATACGTACTGACAGTTACCTCAGCAACAGTAGGTCACATCCGGGTGTTTGGTTTTGGGGGGGTAAAGCAGTAGCTCTAGCCCCGCGGTTGTGTGGGACCCTGACTTACGGGGTGTTTCATAAATAAAAGGCGTCGTGACGGTGATACAGTGGGAATGATTTATGATCATTTGAAGGGTAGGGGTGCAGATGGAGAATGAGGGGCCTCCTGGTTTTGAAGTCTTCTGCAGCTGTGAATTATTTTCCCTTTGATTCACTTAGCTCCGCTAGACAAAGGAAGGGTGAGAGAGTTTGTGTGCGCACAAGCGTGTTTGTGGTGTACATGGCGGGGGTTGCGGGGCAGGTCGTGACAGACCAATGGGAGTGTCCTCACGAAGCTCCAAGATGGAAAGTTTGGCCTCTGCTGCACCGGCTGGAATGCATCAGTCCGAACAGGAAAAACCATATTTTAATCACATTTTACTTCATTTCTGTATTTTTCTTCAATCCTCCCCTGCTTTGCTCTTCCCTACAGACTTCATCCTCCCCCTCCACATCTCCTCTCAATACAGAACTGCCCCCCCACCTTCCCTTTTCAGTCTTGGAGTCTGATTGTCTGTTCAGTCAAATAGTTGTTCACTCCCTCCTTGCTCTTTCTGTCTCTTTCCTGAATCCGAGCCATCCCCGCTCTCTAATTTGACCCCTCTGCCATTTACTTTCTCATTTGCTCTCTCTCATTAAAACCTCGTTTTCTCCTCTCAGTAATGTCTCTAACTCTGTTCTGTTGTTCACTTAAAAAAACAAACAAACCAAACAACCCCCCAAAAACAAAGATTATACACATCTTCAGATTCTTTGATATTTGATATTACATGATAGTTGTGCATGAGAGGTACGTGATGCGGTCTGGGGAAGATAGATGTGCACATCTGGAGACGTATGTGTGTGGCTACACGACAGTGGTGTACCCTGAAGTGTTGCAGACCTGCGAGAGATGTGATAAATGTCCTCCTTGCTTCCTCTCTTCTTCACACACAGCCTGTGATAACCTCTTTCACCCATTATCCAAAGTTTGTGTCTGTGTGAGCAGCAGCAGATTATCTTGGCAGTCTTTGTCTAAAGTTCAGTTTTCATACTTGTCTTCTGGCTTTTTTCCCCCCTTTTCTTTTTGATCTCAGGACACAGACAGACACAAAGTTATAAGTACAAGAAGCCTCACAGTTGTGGCACCCCCAACAAAGGTTCCTTTTTGTCAGGCCGCTCTTGCCTAATTTCCGTCTTGACAGATGACTTGCCACCCAATCCTGCCTCTTTCCACCCTCCATTCTCCAAGAGCACGCATACATTTTTATTTATTTTTGCTCAGTTCTGTCGCTGTTCCAGTTCACGATGGCCTGCGGTGCACATCTACATCCTCGCTGTGTTTTCCTTGGAAGGCCGGAGTAAAACTTTCCTCTCCATCATGCTCTCATCAGTGCCGTGCACTCAGGGAATTCCCAATTAACTCGACTGGGACGACTGCATTCACAAGTAAGGCTGCGGAGACACTGGGGACAAACCACGGGGGTGCACTTCCCAGAGCCCCCGGCCTCACCCCAACCCTCTGCATCTGATATCATTCCACAGCGACTCAGGGGACTTTTTCTCAGGGCCCCGGCTTTCCAGGGAGTTTAGAGGAGCTTGATTTATACAAAGAGAGTGTGGGGCCCCTTGTCATAGCATGGGGGTCTCTTTCTGATGTATGTTTTATTTGGAAAGTGATTGATTCTGTGCCAGATAGGAAGCCGGTGATCTTTGTATGAAGGTTAAGAAGTGCTTAAAAAATATGACAGAAGTAAATATGAAAGCCAAGTGGAAAAAATAGTTAAGAAAAAAAAAGGGAACAATGGTTCCTTCCACGACAGCATTAACGGTTCCCCATAACATAGGAAACAGGAAGCGAGGCAGAAATTGAAAGAGAAAGCGTCAACTTACTGGTCAGAGCACATGCACTTTGAGGAAAACTGTTGCACAGAAACTTGTTTAGATTTAAAAAAATAAAATAAATTTGTGTGTGTGTGTGTGTGTGTGTGTACCAACTCCTGCAGGGAGTGCTTTTAACCCTGCTGTGCGAGGGGCAAGGAGACAAGCTTACTGCTGGGCCTCTCATCATGGGGGCCCATTGCTTTATCCTTCAGTCAATAGCTGTTTGTTTAGGCGTGTGTGTGAGTGAGACTAGGATCAGCAGTAAATGTCAGATGTAGCGGTTTCTTTATTTTTGGTTCCTACAGACTTCTTCTGAAGTATTCCGACATTCCCCTTAGCTCCCTGTTTTTCAGTTAGATAATCTGATTAAATATTAGCAAGTTTTCTGGGAAACGGCGATGCTGCTTCACTTTTGGTAGATAACAATAAGCCTTGATAACTTCTCTAGCTGTCTGTCCCGCCGGTGTTAGTGTAGTAAACTTTGTTTCTCAGTGGGTAACCCAGGATCTAAGCGTTAATAGGTAACGCATGAATGTCATCTCATGCGAGTCATGATCACAGCGAGCCGTCCGTCTCACTGCCTTAAATGACCCCCTCTGCTTCCACACATACACACACGAGAGTGATGGTTCACTTTTTTTTTTTTTTTTTTTTAACTCCATGTTCTTCTCTTCTCTCGGCCTTTCACCTGCTCTCCTTCTCGGGGCCTGATGATAGAAAATACACCACCGCCACTAGCCCAGACGCCATTGTCCGTTGTTTGCTCACTGCATACCTCCTGTGCTTGCTTGCCCTCCTTTCACTCCCTTTCTTTACTCGTAAGAAACTGTTGCACAGGAGTGACCGGTGAAGCTCCTCGTCTTTCACTTCTTTCTGCCTCTGTTTTAGCCTCACCTGATTACCATAGACTCCGAGCCACAGTTGTAGCACCAACATGAAGCTGGCCTCTCTGTGTGAATGTCAGCATTATACTTTCTTTTATCATACAGGGACTTGTATGTTTATTAGTTTGCATGACTAACTTGACACCGACAGGCAGCCTTGGCAGTACGCCACCGTGGGTAAGAAAAGCCACTCGCTGGTTTTGCGCCTTGTCTGCGTGCAAATGATCCCTGTGCTGACTGAAAAACTGTGTTGTTCATATCGCTTGAGAGCGCTGGGAGATTTTGCCCAATATCCCTTCTCGTGCAGCAACTAAGATGGTTGAAGCTGAGGATATTGTTTCCATGTGGCCCCCGGGCCCCTCGGCGGTGGATGGGGAGGTTTCTGTGCCCTTGGCACTCAGATCAGAGAATGAAAAAGCATGCAGCCACCTCCCCTGAGTTACACAATAAGATCATCGTAATCTAAACACAACCCTTTCCGTTCAGCTTTCATTTAAGCTTTAATCAATACAGCGTCTTCATGAACTGCCGACAGGCGGCTGTTTTTGTTGCTGGCAGTCGGGTGAGAAATAGAGGTCTAAGGCTTAAAGTAAGTGGGCGTTACCTGCTTTGGAATTCCTGCATTGCTTCTTGTGTTTGCTTGATGGGAAGGTTTGCTTTTTCTGCTTAGATTACACCTAGTATTTCTTTAATGCATGCTAAGCAACACTTTCCCTAATCCACAAAGAAATGCCTCCAAACGTGTTATGACAAGGTGAATGACTTTAGGCGTGTGTCTGTCTGGATGTGGATGCTCCTAGCTTCTTCTCTTCTACCAGAGTAAACTCTTTCCTGCGCTTGAGGGCCTACAATGCTCATGCCCCCTCCCATCACCACCCTCCATCCCTTTCCTCCTTGTTTGAGCTTGCTTGGACAAGGTCATACACTCCACTCTTTTAAACACCTGATCAAGAGTCTATAAGAGCACACGACTAGTGGAACTCAATGAATTATCCTCAGGGGAATGCTGCTGTCACACTTCAAACACAGCAAGACAATTTTTTTTTTCGTTTTTTTTCCCTTTCTGTGAATCGATTTATGGATGTGTCATCAGTCACAGAGCTACGCCTCTTGATATTAGCAGATGGGCAATGAGTGTGTGCATTCTCCGAGGCACACAGAAGAGTAATGATGTTGCTGAAGCAGGGTCTGTAGCTAACCTTTTCCCTCTTCCTCTCTTCAGGTAGCCAAGGTGGAGTATGTGAGGAGGAGACCCAAGTTGAAAGAAGTCTTTGTGCGGTTAGAAGACCACCTGGAGTGTGTATGCACATCACATCATCACGCGGTAGAGCCCTCGGATCCAGAAGCAGGTAAATGAAGCTTTGCTTCTTTGCAAAAAAGCACTTAGAAGCTGAGTTTGATTGCAGAAACCGACCCCTCTTCCTGATCGTGCATTCTACTTTCCCGTCTTCCTCATATCGGTCTGATGGTCTTCTCTCTGTTTGTCTCCATGGCTTTGCACTGGATGACCTTTTTTTTTTTTTTTTTTTTTTTTTTTTTTCTGTGATTGCCCCAAACGAACCCATGAAGCGGCTCACTATTGCAAAACTGTAAAGCTTGTGTGCTCGTGCCTTGTAAGATGAGGATGTGTGCGTGTATGTGTACTTGTGTGTTAAGGGAGGGTGTCCAAAGGGCTGCTTGGCATGACAGCAGGTAAACCGCCGGTGCCTTGATCTGAGGCCTCTTTTCTCCTTGGGAGCAGATAAGCGCTGTAATGTGTGCTGATAAGGCATCTCAAGAATTTATAGTGTTAAATCTTTGCACTCTCTGCTTCTGTCCCCGGGCTGTTGTGGCTCTCTGTATTATAAACCCCTGCTTCTCGCTTGTAACCCTCCTTCCTATCCACCCTCCCTGACTTTTGTGTTTTCAGGCCACCGTAGGGCCAAAGGTAAAAAAAGGAAACCTAAAAAGCTAAGACGCACCAAGGGATTATTGGTGACTTAAAACAAAAAGTTGCACTCATTACCCAAAGTCCACTGGAGAGCTCTGAAGCGAACAGGTAGGACTTAAGAACTGCAGCCTTTAATCACCTTTCGGCAGTGCACTGGCCCAATCAGGTGCAAAGAAAGGGCCCTGCCAATCACCCAATAACATCACAGCCAATCAGTGTGAAAAGAGGAGGAACTAAGGAGTGTCATCCTCCGTGCTGTCCTCAAAGCTGCATGTTGAGCTTGTGGCCTGCTGAGCATGCACACTGCTTTTATCTGCTGTGTTTTGTGCTTGCATGATCTCATTTCATTGTACAGTAAAGCAACTGTTTGTTTTGCTTCACTTTCTAGAAATCACTCCTGAGTTTTCTTTTACTGTCTTTCACCCTATCATATCATCACCCTCTAAAAAAAATAAATAAGAGACCAGTATTTGTGATTTTCCTCATTCTGTCCTTTACTTCAGCCACACACACGCACACAAGCAAAAACACCAAACATAAACAAAATGACACACACGCCGTATTTTGATTGGACATGATGTCTGGTCTGAGCGCTGTCTTTGAAATATGGAGAAAGGTAATTCAGAACACTGCAGATCTTGTTTGAGCTGTGTTTGAAATGCATGAACAAACTGGTTAAATTGGGCTCTAAATCCAGTAATCTAGTTGGATATCTTTTTCCTGATTTTAAAAAATCAAACGTAAAAGCAAACATGTATTGTTTTTGTAAACCTGTGATTCAAATCTCACCCTTCCTCTCCCTCTCTCTCCCACAGTGGATGTGAGGTGAGACCAATCAGAACAAGGGACTTCAGCGTGGGAGGTGCCTAAATAGAGGAGGCCTCCAAAAATGACACCTGCTCTGTCCTCTTCCCCGCTGCCGTGCAACCTTCGTCTCAAAAAACAAAACAAAATAAACCCCAAACTTTTCTGTAAAGATGTCAGACTGAAAAAGAGACAGCAGATAAAAACAACTGAGATACCAAAGGTGCTTTTGAAAAAGAAAACAGCCGGTGACTTTCTCTGCGGTAAGCCACTTACCTAAATGGTTGATTAAGAAAAGAGGATGCTGCGGATCTCGGGCAGGCCAGGAAAAAGGCCAAAGGGAGACGATGAAAGGGATCGATCGGTGATGGACATTTTGACTGGGCGACAGTTGAACAGCTGTTGAACAGTTGGACCACACCTCGATGAAAATCAAGTGCTCCGATTTAACACAAGTACTCTGACCTGCTTAAAGGAGTCTTGCATTCACAGGAAAAAAGACAGAGGGATATAGGGGAAAAAATGATGGAATGAAAGAGACTCTTTATGGAGCATCAAACACTTTGAGTTGACAGATGTTTGCTCCGAGACCTCTGGTTGTGACTTTGCCCACCTGCTATGTACAGTTCAATTTGAAAAGAAAGTAGTCGTTCTTCTTGCAAACTATTTATGTGTGGATGTTTGCTTTCCATTATGAAAGGAAAAAAACAAACGAAAGATGTTTCATCATGTTTTTGCAATAGGTCTGGTTCTTTGTAACCATCAGTATCACAATCTCAGTGTAATTTTGTTTTCTTGTCAGCCATGTTTCTTATTATATTACACTATATCTGATTGATGTCCAGTCTTGTATATGGTTTGGATACATGTGTGTGAGGAGGAGTTTTTGAGAGTCAGTACAGGAAGATGCTTTATTTTTGTTATGAAATATATTATGCATACTTATATCCAAGCGGGAATTATGTTTTCTTTTTGTTGTTCTTGAATGTCTATATTTAATCCATCTGGGCAGGGCGGGGTGGGGCGGGGGTGCAAAAAAGAGGTCAGGGGTGGAAAGTAGGTGCGTGCGTGCGTGCGCTACAGCTGTGAACAGGATAAAAGATGGGGATAAAACAGTGTGTGTGTGTGTGTGTGTGTGTGTGTGTGTGTGTGTGTGTGTGTGTGTGTGCGCGCGCTGTGGCATACTGTGGCATATGCTAAGGCAGTGACACGCCCTGCCCTATCCTTTAGGCAATATTTACCACAAACATGCATTCAGCAAATCAGTGTGTCTGCCAATCACATAAGTGCACTAGCATGTCTAAACTAGAGCATATTCATAGGCTGTATATGTGTGTGTGCTTATGCACAATTTCTCTGCTACGAGAGGCTATTCTTTTGGGTTTGTTTTTTTTCTCTCACCCATTTCAGTCCAGCGCTGATAAGGAAGATACGCGCCCGGTCTACTACATAAGCACACATGTTGTGTCTTTGAAGAGCAAAGTCCATCTTAAAGACTGAATGAAAGTGCAAAGCAAATCGACAAGTGGATGAATGGGCTCCTTGTTTGGTCAGGCTTTACTCCTCTGTTGACAAGAGAACAGATCTCAGATTACTCCACTCCTGTGAAGGGACTCACACTTTATGCAGCTTTCCTCCGTCAGGACAAATGATCTGAGGTGGCTTGAAAACAGCGCGGTGCTAGCCTGAACTCGTGCCCCAAAGGAACAAACAATTACTTCCTTACCAGTTCCTATGATAGTGATGAATGTGCGACAAGGCCTGGGGCTTATGCGAAAACAACGTCCCTTTTTCAGCCTGTGTCGAAATACGGAAATATGACTGAGATTCTTCTAGCGGACAAAGGCATGAGAGTGAGTCACAGTGCAATGAAAAGCAAATCAAGTGAGAAGAGCTTGACTGAAACATGGCAGAAACGGCTACTGCTGAACTGTGGGCTACATATCACACACACACACAGCGCACCTGTTGACTGGTGCCATATTTTGTGAGGCTGATGTTTCACCGGTATTCTCAATCACAGTTGCATCAATATAAGATAGTGTTCTCAGTGAATCAGGGACCATGCATAGAGCAATTTGATTGCAGTCTACCACAATGCTGTTATGCTATTGCAAAGCCTGTTATTACTTTCCTTTTGAGCTTTCATTGGATAAACATAGCAATAATCATAATTTATATATTTATGTTATTAACAATAAATATATTTCTGCTCATGAAATTCTTCACTGGATGTCCTGTTAATTGCACCTTTTGTCTCAAGGATGAGTTTTTAGGATAAATGTAGACGGCGTAAAGACAAACAAATGGACATGAAGGGGAAGGAAAGTGAAGCATGCACTTGCTTGCTATGTGAAGGCAGTAAAAATATGTACAGATTATGCAAGATCAGAAGAGAGAAGTGTTCTTATGTTGGTACTGCCGTAGTTGGCATAACATAAGCTTGATGTGAAGGTGGTGTTGTTACAGGAAATGTGAGCTTTTACCGGCTTGCAGGCCGAGCAGGAGCCGGGCTTTATTCCAGGATCCACCGGTAGCAGACGGTAGGTTCTGGGGGGCTTTATTACTTTTCCCCTGAGCAGCTCACCCTAATCCCCGGGCTAAGGGACATGAAAGCCCTTCTGCTTTGCACTTCCCAGCCATATACCCTGCTTATTACCTCAGGAGGGGAATGAGATAAAGAAAGGCACAACATGAAAGAGACACAGGATCAGAGAGACAGCAGCTTGGCTACCCCGTAGAATAGGGGATAAAGTCAATAAGGCAAAGATAAAAGGAGGAGCAGAGGTTTGATTGATTTTATTGTTTTTAACCTGACATGCACAGCTTTATTCACAAAAATGAGGGGAGGGCCAAAGTAAGGATTTAGAATAGCGTGTGCAGTGTAGTTGCCTTGCAAGGCAAAGAAAACAATATGTCATGCTGAGAAAAGAAGGAGGAGTGGGAAAACCCTGAGGAGTAAGAGTGCAATGGGATGGGGTGGAAAAAAAAGGATGAAAAGAGGGGTTTAGGTGGGCTCAGGATGGGGGTAATCGGCACCACAGCCTGAACGGGCAGACGGGGCGACACTTAAGGGGACATGCTTTTATAAGTAATACCAGAGGGACACATGGAGGTAGATAAGGTGAGCAGAGGGCTGATGAATGAGCTTTATGTCTGTGAGTGTGTGAAAGTGTTTGAGAGAGCGAGCCTGGCAAAATGTGTGTGTGATTGTGTATGTACTAAAACAATGCAAAGGAGGTGTCTCAGTGTGAAACATGCTGCACTGGAATTTCAGCCCTCGTAGAGAGCAAAGTGTCGTTCGACTACACAGGGTCAGAGTTTAGGATTAAGGGCTCATATGAGGATGCTGTTTTTGATCAATTTTGAAGCTTTCGCGGCTTTCCCTTTTTTGTTTTTACTGTAAATAAATTCCACCTTTCACAGGAACCATTTTTGGTAAAGTTTTTGCTACCCTGGATTCAACGCATCCTCAACTAAATCTAATAGACACAACCTCCTCCTCCAGGAATTAGCTTTTGCTTTATTCCTTAACAGATTACAGATTGTTTAACTTTTGCTTCATTACTCTCTTCCCTCCTCCATCCTCCCCTTTCCTTTTCCCCTCATCGTAGCCCTGTTATGTTTCTTCTCTGAGCCCCAACCTGTGGCCTCTGGGTTTTGAGGAAAGGCAGAGGTGGGCTTTGAAGATGGCGACAGCCAAAGTTTGTCCAGGGCCATGGCCATGAATGCCCGCCTTTGTTGTGCGCCACTCTCTCACGTCTTCATATCCTCCCCCTCCTACACTCCTTACCCTCCCTCTGTCCCCCCGCAAACTTACATGGACACGCTCATGCCCTCACTGGGGCCCCCTTTGCACAAATGACCCTGCTAATTATGTATTTAAGGTATTTGGCTCCTGTGAAAACAGCTTTGGGTTAGCGGTGGAAGGTGGTGGGGGTGGTTGAAGAAAGGAGGGTGTATAAGGACGTGGTGTGGTCCATGGTCTCATGGCTATCATTACTGCCCAGCGTTGAATGTAAACACTGGATTAGGGCAGCAAGGGGTGATTCAGGAGAAGGGCGGTTGAGGTGGCAGTGGTCGCCTTGCGCTTCAAGCGTTCTGTGCTCTGGTTTCACCCCTGGGTGACAGTCCCTCAGAAACCTTTCTCTCATGCACACACTGCTTACCTCAGACAGGTAATGATTTATTTATTAGCAACACGGGAGAGGCAATGCAGTGCGTAAACATCATGGGCCTTCTTTTTTTCTCTTTCCTTCTGATATTATCTGTTTTTACAAATTGTTTTAGGAGTTTTTTAAAATATTCATCATCACATTTCTCATAAAAATCTTTGATATATGAACATCACTTTTATTTTTATTCAACTCATTTCAGTGACCTGAACAGATCCCTGAAGGTCCTTTATATTGTAAGGTAAAGAGCCCACAATAATAGACAGAAAACCACAACAATCAAAAGACCCTTTTTGAGCAAGCACTTGGTGACAGTAGGAAGGAAAAACTCCCTTATAACAGGAATAAACCTCTGGCAGAACCAGGCTCAGGTAGGGGCAGTCATCTGCTGGGTCTAGTTGGGGGTGATGGGAGGACAAAAGACATACTGTGGAAGAGAGCCAGAGATGAATATTATTTCCCTTACAATTAATATTGATGAACTGGAGGAGCCAGGAATTGAACCACTAACCTTCCGATCAGATGGCCTGTTCTACCTCCTGAGCTACAGCCATCCCTTTTGAAAGTAGCATAGCTACAGCTCTGTTACTTTCAAATTTAGTCAGCTTTTGTTTACATTTCTGTAGAATGTTACCTTCAAAGCAACTTAAATAGTTGATTGACCTATTGCAGCGTCTAAGAATAATAATCACAGATTCCAATATAATACAGCAGTTTCTGGTCATCAGTCTGGAAGTCGAAGGCTCAATTATGTTGGCCAGAATTTTTCAAAATAAACAAAACAAGTTGTGAGGAGAAAGTAAAAACATGCATAGCAATTTTCAGTCTCTTAAATGCATGGAGGCAGCCCACCAAATCATTAAGCACTTAAAGTACCATTATTCAATAAAGAAAGTGGAAAATCCCACTGCCACTCCGTACACCTTGAATGGAAGCAAACTTATAAGAGAGCTGCTTTTACATTAAAGTTTATTAATTAATGCAAACCCTCCCTTTAGTATGGAGATTCAACACTTTCAATGCATTCAGTGCATTTTTGATATAAGTTTAACACCAAGTCACCCAAAAGTGAGATGTAATAGTAAAACAGACTTTACAAGCTAATATAAGGCATAAACTGATCCATATCAATTAATAGCAATAAATTAATAATTAATACAGACTGCTGCTGGACTCTTGACAGGTAACACCCTTCTGACTTCCTGTCACCTGGAGCTGTACTGTTAATAAACACTGAAGCCCAATTCGACCAGAATAGAAATAGAAATCTTTAACAAACTGAAATAAAAAGCAACTCTTTTGCCGGCAACTATACCAGCAGACTACTAGCTCAGAAAGCTAAAAGTAGCTGATAATCTCTAGTGATTTAAGCCACATTAGCTAATGTTTTTGATGCTTTTTAGAGAACAAATAAAAATAAGCAGACACTTTGCAAGCCACAGCGACGTCTCTGCATTATCAGAACAGTTTGCATGTTTGCTATGTTTCATTTGAAGTTTGTTTTAAATCTGATTTGTGTCATGAAATTGCCCCTTTATCTTCTCTCTGCCACAGCAACACAAGTCTCATTTAGGCGATTAATGACATGCCATGCTGCTGAAGACATTATTATTTCAACTACTATTAATACTGTTATTTAATACTGTTATTTTTAGGGGTACTGTGATGAAATTTATGGGATGCTTAAGCATCCCCAAAAGGGTCTAACTTGCCTATGACTCAGTGCATTATGGGAAGCCTAGACCTATTGCAGTCTAACTCAGGGAAGGTTCAGGGTCACTTTGTCCAGCTCTAACTATAAACTTTATCAAAAAAGAAGAGAGGGTGTCTGTCTGTCTCCCGAATCCTGGAAGCTGGTTCCACCGAAAAGGATCCTGAAAGCTGAAGGCTGGATGATTTTAAATACCCCAGGAACCAGCAGTCTGGGAGCAAAGTGCTCTATTGGGGTGATATGGTATTCTGAGGGCCTTGAGATAAGATGGGGTCTGATTATTCAAGGCCATTTTGTTATGAAAGGATATGAACCTGATGGTAAAGTGCGAACAGCAGAAACAACTGTTAGACATGCTAACACAACACTGACAGCAGTGAACTCAGAATGGTGTTAAAGCTGAGTGTGTACTGATCCCAGCCAAGAGAGAAAACTCAGAAAGAAGATGGTTGCAGAGGATCCTTCTTTCCTACACCCATCTTCTTACCTTTATACTTCCCCTTTGCTAAAATGCTTTGTCAGACTCTCACCGTCTGGGCTACAGCAAAGGAAAAGTCTTTGGAGGTGTAAGCAGCTTCTGAAGGACTCTGAAACCAGATCGTGGTAACTCCTTCAAAGGGAGAGAGGGTGGCTGACTGATGGTGCTGATAAACTGGAGGTGGACCATAGCTTGCATGGTCACTCAGTTGGAAAATGCTGAAACAGGACCCATCTCAAAAGTTTTGAAGTAACTTGTTTTGAAGTAATCACAATTCTGACAAAAGAACCAAAAGACACAAGCATGAAAGGTATGAAGTTAGGGACACTGATTTACTTTCTCTTCCTCTGACTCAGATAGACCTATACCTCTTTTAACTGCTTAAGCTGAGGTTGAATGAAAAGCCTGGATATCTTCACAGTCTTATCGGTTAACATGCAACTTGTTTTCTTAACACTATCTTACAGAAGTGATCCTGGCAGGGTCTGCATCAGGTCTTGTTAAACTGAGGAAGGGAAGAAGCAAGAGAAGCAGGGAGTAAATGAGGCCATCGCAGAGGTCCTCCTGAGAGTATAGAGGTCTCCAGAGGGAGATAAGTCACGCCCGAATGGGAGCGGAAGTTTGCATGTGTTGTAATTACAAAGGAAGATGCCTGGAGTCACTGATTCTACTGTATATGTGTTTGTGAGAGAGGTCGAGTGTGTGAGCATACACGTTTTCCGATGGGAGCGCAGCTAGGAAAGCCAGTTTCCCTTTGCACATCAAATAAATCAAAAGTCTACAATTAGAAAGAAGGAGAGAGCAGTGTTTGGTTTTGTGGGAAGAGAGGAAGAAAGCTCGGAATGTGTCACTG